AGATGGAGGCCCAGGAACCCGGGGACCCTACCCTCTTTGGGGACGAGGAGGATCTCGAATTGGGGTCTATCATAGACAGTGAGCTCCTCTCGGGAGCAAGCTCCCTAGAAGGGGACATGTCGGACAACGAGGGTCTCACTCCAGTCCAGCCCGCGTTTTTGGGGCTGTTTAAACCGCACCTATTTAGGTCCCTCCTGTTCAAGGCCAGGAATACCTCGGGCCTGAATCCCCCCCACCCAATCCAGCGGCATCGGGGGTTCCTCCCGACTCTATTTTCTCCCAGCCTGTGGTGGAAACCGAAGTGATTCCTGTCCCACCCATATTCTCTGACATGGTCTCAAGGCAGCTAGCCTCCTCGGGGCCCCCTCCCCCCCCAACGCCCAGGACAAGCAGTTTTTCAATCTTGAACCGCAGTTCTCTACCTTGCTCGATCCCCCCCCTGTGGACGAGCCCGTAGTAGGTCTGGCTTCCCGCTCAACTCCCAGCGAGTCACTCGAGGCCCTCCAGCCCGAGGACAAACGAGCTGAACTGGCCCTGCGCCGCGCTCACCTCTCTGACGCCTGGGCAGTCAGGGCTTCCACTGCCGCGTCCTTTTTCATTAGATCTTCCATCAAGTGGCTCCAGCAGCTCAAGCAGCATGTTCCCGCAGCTAATCTCAGAGCGCACCAGGACATTGCTAAGATCCTGGCCGCGGCCGAGTTCTCGGCAGACACCACCTTCCAGGCTGCAAAATTCTCCACCAGGGCCATTTCGTCCCAGGTCACTGCCCGTCGCCTACTCTGGCTCCGCCACTGGCAAGCGGACGTAAAAAACAAGGCTAAGCTAGCATCAGCCCCCATCTCTGGGGGGAAGCTATTTGGACCGGTTCTCGATCCATTCCTGGCCGAGACCCGTAACAAACGCAAATACCTCCCTTCTCTTTCTAGGAGGTCTAACTTCAGAGGCTCCTCTCCCTCTTCTCTCCAGGGTTCTTCCCGTTCCTCCTCCTTCCCCAGGTACTACCAATCCTCTCCCTACAGGCCTCCCGACCGATCGGAACCAGACAGGTCCGGAGGTACCTCTTCCAGGAAGCCCTCCCGGGGATCTGGGAGAGGTTCCTTCCGTCGTTACCGATAATGCAGTCGCCCCCAGGTGGCTGCCCCCTAAAAAAAAAAAAAAGTGTAAAAACGAGAAGAAGGAGAGCAAGAAAGCCAATCCTCTTCAGGCTTCTCGCCTAGTCAGGCTCTACTCTGACACTTAACCCCTGCAAAACCTTTTTCTTTTCAGCCTTGCCCAAACCGTTGGGGAAGCCTAATCCTCATAACTGCATTACCTCTCTATACCAAGACTCCCGGTAGGCCATACGGCTCCCGGGCGCAGGCTCCTAGCCTGGAGCACTCTTGCCCTCCTCACCTTGCCCCAGGGCAACTGGCCGGCAACACATCTACCCCCACCCCATGTTAGCTGGGGTTCCTCTCTGTGCTCCCGGTCTTCCACAGCCTCATAATCCAGGTACACGGATCTCTCGCTCCGGTCCTCACTACAACCCTTATTCCCAGCTGAGGCGGCCCTCGGCCAGCTGGCTCTTGAACAGGGCCGACCGCCTCGCCGTTGGGTGGAACCGAACCTGGCCCCCACCAGCACAGGCCACAGTTCGGGAACATTCTACGTCTATGCAATTTGGCTCTCCAGGGCCACCCTGATCCTAGCGGAGGGGCCCCTCCTTCTCTCCCGGGTCATGGAGGTAGTCCATTGCCGGGTCCCCTCGGCCCTTGGATTTTAGGGCCCCTCCACGCCTCCCCTCCATCACTCTGACCTGGAGTTCTCTCAGGGGGGTTCTCAACTAGGGTCTATCTCATAATACCCTAGGGCGTCATATCGCTATCCTCGCAACGGTGGCCCTCCGGTCATTGAGGGTTCCTCCCCTCAACCCCGGCTAGGTCTTCCTCAGGGGAGCTTCCCATCCTCGCCCCTGCCCAGGCTCCTTTCGACCCGGGTCCTTAACAAGGTCCTGGCCGCTCTTACCTAGTCTCCTTGCCTCACGGCCCCAGTAAGCCTCTATCGGCGTCCCCTGCAGGGCTACCTTCTAGACAGCCCCGCCTCCTTCATTAGGCCTTCTTGTTGAGGCATTCCAACCTCCGAGGGGTTCTCCTGTCGGGTGTGCCCTCCAGCGGGTCATCAGGGTTCCAGGAGAGGTTCCATCCCAGACGGGAGCCCGCCCGCAGGACTAGCCAAGCTTTGGTATGTCCCAACCTGGACACTCGAGACAGCTCTATGGAAAAGGGGCGTTGGTTCTTACCTGATACGCTTCTTTTCGTAGAGCTGTAGAGAGTGTCCAGCCCCACCCATAGGCCGTCTGGTGGGAAACCTTGCTGTTCGACCGAGCAAACTAATATTTTTTTCTGAGTAAGATGAGAACAGGGCCTTCCTTCTCGTCTTCGCAAAACTGGGGAGCACCCAGAGGACCACGTGATGGTGAGAGGCATTCCTCAATCTCAAGCTCAGCCTGTGAGAGCCGAGACTCGAGCTCCTCCCAACCTGGACACTCTACAGCTCTACGAAAAGAAGCGTATCAGGTAAGAACCAACGCCCCTTTGCTTCGGCTGTAATTATATTGTCAGCTTCTATTTGTATTTGGGTAGTTTGGAGCAAGTTCTCCTCAGACAATCCCTCTTCTGCCATGTCCACCTGATTTTCTCTCCATGCATTCCAGATGTTGGGAAGCGATGGAAGAGGTCGGGCGTCAGGTATCCCAGTAATGATGATGAATAATGAAAATTGGCTATCTGTCAGGATTCTGGCAGTTACCCCAGTTAAATGAGTCTTGAGCCAAACTTCCAAAACTTCAGAAGGATTTATTGGGAATTAAAATGTCCGGCACTACCTGGTTGTAGCTGACTCTGAGACACATAATTCATTGTCACCCTTGATCCTGGTTTCCCCCCCCACCCCCCTCGGTGTATCATAATTCATATTCTCCAATTGGACACATCCATAGCCAAGTATCATCAATCATGTTCCCCAATTAGAATTTTGCGCAGCAGAAACTTCAGTCACCTAATTACTATTTTTGAAAACTATTTCTGGAATGCACTTTCTGTTTCAAAGCTGCCACACTGCTCCCCCCTCTCTTTTTGTTGGTAACTCTAAAAAGAAATATTTTAAAATATTTTATGAGTTGACACCAGCGCTGTCTGAAGATGTCTCCATGGTCATGTGGCCGGCATGACTAAAAGCTGAAGGTGCACGGAACGGTGTTGCCTTCCCACAAAGGTGGTGCCTATTTTTCTACTTGCATCTTTAACGTGCTTTCGAACTGCTAGGTTGGCAGTTCCCCTAGAGTCGGGAATGACTGGCACATATGTGCGAGGGGAACCTTTACCTTTTAACGAGAACTCAGTTAGGATTTGTGTAGGAAAATGAAATGTACTGATGCGTATTCACAGTGTGGTTAGGCCATATCCCTTCCTCTCCTACTGTTGTAAACTTCTGTTATCTGTGTTGGGCAAATAATTGTCTGACTGGAAATGCATTGCTGACAAATGATTTATTGCTGGATTGAATTCTTTGCCTATTTCTTCCATTTTTTAATCAGTTGAGTTATTCTTTATTTTATTAAAAATCAGTGTCTTTTATTTTAGTCCTTGCCAACAATATCTGTTTCTCTCAATTCCTCTTGTTAATCCTTCTGTCTCCTTGTCACAATAAATACCAAAAGGTCCAAAGATATTATCTTCACTTGTCCCTTTGCTGTAATCCCTCCTTTTTTGGTGCTTCCGGGGTTATTATTATAATATAGTCTTTCATTTCATTTCATTTCTCATTCACACATTTGTAAGACCAGTAATTTTCCATGAAATCGTAAGAGAAAAAGTGCCTTTCATCATTAGATGGCGCTCTACATTGCTTTCCACTTTTCAAAGTTCTTTTTTCTCTTTTCAGTTATATTAATTCCGCTAATTTTCAACCATTAGCTCTTTTAAATATAGTCAATTCCAGGCAAATCCAGCATTCTATCCAATGCCTAATTAATGCTAATTTCTGTATCTTATTCCAAATTTGGTCTCTAATTCCGTTAGTCCTTTTATAATCTGGTTTTTTATTTACCTTATAATTTCCTCTTTTTTTCCATTGTCCGCTGCCACATTCTTAAATGAGGACTCTTTTCTTCTGTTTTTCGGGTTGTCAAAAAAAAATCCAAAATCCTTTGCCTGGTTACATGCTGCTCACCGCTTCACCACTCCAGCACACATTTAAGTCCCGGAAGCTTTCAGTCTTCAGGGCAGCCTTAAAACTGCCGCTACCTCCTGTCTTCAAGGGGAGTATACCTAGCCAGGGAGGGGAGATGCAGCTCCCTCGACCTAGCTGGCTGTCTCCCCCTCTTCCCCCACCCCTCCAACGTGTGTCCAAGATGGAACTGGTCCCATTGGGACATTTCAACAGGTTAACCACAGATCGAAGCAGTGCATGATTGCAGTCTTCAGTCCGTCTTTGATGGAAGTGCCACCGGCGAGTCCAGGGCGCTTAATTTTTTCAGACCTGAGAAATAAAACAATGTTTCAAACTAGCTCTGGCAAAGAGACCTCTTTGTTTCACTGGAGGGTAAAAAGGAGAGGAAATAATGTACAACCCAATCAAACTTGCAAGATTCTATTACTAAGGCTAATTTCAATTAAAAAAATAGTTTTAGCCTTCCTGTGGAAGTGATTTCCTGGTCTAGTCTATATAATGGGATCAACATAGATCAGTGGTGGCTAACCTTTTGGGGCTCCTGTGCCGATAAATGCGCGCGTGCTTGTGCATTTGCGCTCACGTGCCATCACCCAGAAGGCAATGCACACAGGGGGGGGCCCATACCCTTGTGCGCTGCATAGTTCTGCACATGCATGCATGAGCCCCCCACACGCTGTGCATTTTTGTGTATGTGCGCCCCCACGAATGGGCACCAGATACCCAACAGTCAGCTGTTGGATAGGCTGCGCTTGCACAGTAGACCTTCTCTGGGCGAGGGCTCATGTGCCAGCAGTAATGGCTCTGCATGCCACTTCCGGCATACATGCCATAGGTTCACGGACATAGATGATTAGGACTCAGACAAAAATGATGGGGTATCCTGTTGTTTCAATACATGGTAGGTGAAAAGAGCTAAGTGGTAAGTTTTAACTTTCATTTACTCAGGACACCCACTTTTATTTCTTTGCTGTCTTGATTACCAGAGAAAGTTTTTGATAGCAGATTTAATACGTTCTCTATCTGCTTTGCTACCATTATTCTATGATAATATTTATAGCAATTTCATTGTCATTTTCTCCTTTAATAACTACAAATATAAATTTGAATATCTTTCCCATATAATGACATGCAATTGTTATTTTATCATGGCTTCTATTTCTCATTCCATTTCAGCTTTTACAGAAATGTTTCAATTATCCTTTCATGTTCAGTAATAAAATGTGACACATGTTCTTTGTCAATATTTAAATCAGTCTTTTTTCAACAAAGGGAAAAGCAAGAAAACTTAGCAACATGGTGAAAGTTTTGAAGTTCTGCTTATAAGCTAATTTTCAGATCATTTTTCATTTTTCTTTTCCCTTTCCCCATTTTTTTGCTATGTTTATCAAAGCTATAAAATTATGTTGAAAATTTGTAAAACTAGTATTTTGTTCATTAGTTTCACATTAACAGACGACAAAAATTTGACAGTACATAATCAAAATACAAATTTAAAAGTAGTAAAATCTCTGTATATTGGTAATGTATTTTATAACAGAAAATACTTCTAAGGAATTGCTACTTAGAAATTTGGGTTATATATTGGATTAATTTTATACTTTTTTCCTGATGTTTATTGCTAGATGTTAATAATTTGATCATATAACAGAATATGAATATGTATGTAAGATTAAAAGATGCAGTATGCATGTGTGTGGATATATTTCTCCTCAGTCTTTTTTTCTTTATTTTGCATACATGTCATTCTATAAATATGGCTATGAAGAGTGCCAGCTCTTCAAAACTAAAACTGCAAGCATGATTGGTTGAATGTTCATGCTTCATTTTAAACCTTACAATAAAAGCCATGATTACTATGACAGAGCATGCCTTTTATTTTATTTCATTTCCCCCTATTCTTAGGAAAAGATTATATGGATATATTTCATGTATGTAGGAAAAAAGATGTAAATACAGAAAACAAGTGCTGAAAGATGGTTAGCCAAACCTCCAATGTACTGAATAAGAACAACCATTGTTAGTTTTCTAATTTTTATTTGTAAATGTATGGTGTTCAAACATGTTTTATATGCTGGCCACATCTAGAATTAGTTCTACAAAGTCTGTTAATTTTTAAAGTAGCCATTGGTAAACTATTGTTTTCTTTGCATTGTTTAAGTGATTATTGTAAAACTAATCAAAACAGCAGATTTTCATTTCTTTACTCTATTTTATGTTCACATTGGAAAATATGGATCTTAAAAGCAAATAATCTAGAACAGCCTACTCAGATCTGAAATATAACAACCTAGAAAATTAGAGTAGGAAAGAAGATTTTTTTTGATTTTATGTTCTCTAAATTAGAAGAAAAATAAAATAATCTCTTGCTGTTTGGTCTTCTGTCTCTTTCTTCCCACCTTCTCCATTCATGAGTTCTCTGTGAGCTCATGAAACATGAAACCTAGGAAAAAGTTGAAGTGTGGCTGTAATTGGGATTATTCTATTTTTAGTTAATCAGCAAGCATGTGCTGTCCTATCCACGTCCCAGTAAAGAAATTACATAACTCTTAACTCTATCTGTTGCAGCACCAACTTCCTGTTTCTTTTGAACTTTTTTTCTCTCCCTTTTCAAAAACTTTCATGTCACTTTTAAATAACAGAATATTAAGGAATCTCACCCTATATTAGTATTGGAAAGTTTGAGTTCAGTATAACAAACTCTGATATGTTCTTATTTCCCTAATATCTTGGCTGTGATCTGTTAATATTGATGTTTTTATCAGTATAGAGCAAAAAAAAAAAATCTCAATGTTCCAATTAGGTAGCTAAGAACTGTTTATATTCTTGCCTATTTGCAGAAGACAATTGACCCATGGTTTTTCATCTAAGTAGTGGAAAGAAGGAGAAAGAAGAATGAACAGTCATGATATCTATTTCCATTAAGGAATAATATTGAGTTTTATGAATGCATGGCTCCTTTAAAAACAAGTAACATTTTGTTTTTTACATTGCAAGAACCAGTATTGTTAAGTAAGCCTCATTTGCTTGATGCTTCTCAAAAAGGATTCTTTAAACTGGAAAGTTGAGGAGTCTTGACATTTGCAGTTTTATTACAATAGATTCTGAAGCTGCTGGCAAAGTTATCAGAACTCACAGTTTATTATCAAATCTGTTCTGTGCTGTTCCATCTTTGGATTCAAATAGTATTAATATGATTATTTTGTGATAGTGTATCTTTGCCTTTATGATAGTTCAACATTTTAATCCAGGGATGTGCAAATTGTACTAGGCTAATGATTATGCTCAGATTTTGAATGACATTATTTTCTATCATTTTACTTGATTTTTTAAAAGATTAATTTATGTCAATTGCCCAGTGTATTTACTTGCTGTATTCACTATTTAAAATGTGTATACGTGAGAATATTTGTTTACTTGAAGTGAATAATTGATGGTAGATTAACTTCTCTTATATTTCTGTTAGAAAATGGATTTCAAAACAGAGTTCCTTCTGTGTGTTGTAGAGATAGTTAGATGTTCATATGACAGACATGAGAAATTATCAATTCCTCCCACAGTGACAAGTTAAAAAAGGGATATAGAAGCCCACTATTTTTTTTCCTGAATTCTTGTTTCTTACAATTGTCTTTCTGTGCTAGGGAAAAAACTGACCATGTTTAGTGGGGAATAAGCCTGAGATGCCACATTCAAATTGGAATCTGAATAAACGCGTACTTGTGTTTGTACTACACCTAACCCAACTGGAAACAGTATAAGAATAAATCTTCAGATTGTTCATAGCAACACAATCACCGTGCATTTCTTTACATTCCTAGCATACAATATACGCTTGCCTCTAAAGCTTTTTTCCTCATGCGTTTCTTCCATGACTCATGAAGCACAGGATGCCAAACAGAGAATGGCTATTTCTGTGCCACCAGTGCAAACCCCACTACCTCCACTTATGTTGTCAAGTGAACTTCCATTGTAGGAGGCACCCTGTGTTCTTTGTTCTTAGCAAATCTTTATGGAAATATCTTCAGCAATACTGGTTTCTCCTGTTCAGAAGCTTGTCTTTTTTTCCTACTTACAGCTTCTTGACATTTCGCTCACCTGTAGAGTGGATACGGATACTCAATATTAAATCCCTGCTCTGTACAGTTTCCTAAAATAGTTGCATTACTGATGCTGTCAATAGCATCAATTGAATATATTTTACATTTAAAATTAAATTAAGGACAGCAGCATCCCTTGGTGCCAAAGGACAATTCGGAAACCCACAATTAATTTCTTGAATGTGATTGCATAATAATTTCTTATAAGGTTTACGATCCTGCATTGTCTCAGCATTACTAGGACTTTGTGTTCTGTATTTTAAGCTTGCTGTTAAGTTCCACTCTTGAATTTTATTGCTGTTTGTTGCTGGATGTGCAATTTCTTGTACTTCCTAAAATTAGTTTGCAAGCATTTTTGCAGCTATGCAGCAAAACACTTGTTGTCTATTTACTGAAAAATTAGCTTTATATTCCTTGATAACTTTAACATATAATTTTTAAGTAATAGATAGCAAGCTTTAAAAATGCTTCAAATATACTGTTAAAAATAAATTCAAATTTTTTGAAACCTTACTCTTATTAAGGTAACATTCTACTCTATTGTCAAAGCACTGCACTTTATAACTTTTTATAGTTATTATTACATAGATCATTCAACGGGACTGTTTTCCTTCTTTATTATAATCATTTTATGAGATTTTGTTTTCTGTAATTCAATATGGACTTTAAATCTGAGTCTCTCTGGTTTTAGATCAGAATCCTATCTATCACAGCAGCTCACACGCTTATTGGGGGGAAAATAATCTTGCTTTATTCTAAACCAAATCTAGTTTACAGATCAACATTTTCAAATTTAATTGAACTCCTGAATGAACTGAAGAATTAACATTACACATTCTTTGCAAGTACAATAGAACATTTTTAATATTGAAACTTTACCAATTGAATATAGAATTGCTTTCTGGGTTTGCATACTTATATATGTACTATATTTAGAAATGACTAAGCTTCCTTGCTAAGAGGTTGAGTTAAAGGTTTTTTTTGCATACATCAATAACTGCACCTTAGTTATTCCCAGGAAGGAACTTGTTTGGTGTTGCATATAGTTTGGTGTTTGATCTTCAGCTATAGAGTAAATAAAGGCCTTGAAATGATTTGTCATTGTCATGCTCTGAACCTGCAAGGAATTTTCAGAGTTTATCCATAGACTGCCTTTTGTAGGAATTACAACAACTGCTGGTGCTACTGGTGGAAGAATTGTTATGCACAAATATGACCTTTAGATCATTATCTCATGTTTTGTTGAGAGAGCCAGATGCCGTGAAGCAATTATGTTGTGCATAGATTGAAGAACAGGAGTTTCCTATGCCTAGTTTCAAAGAAGATGCGTGGCAGAAAGCTCTGTAGCATTATGCAGTTCTTTCTATTGTGATTTGATAATTATGTTGATCCTCTGGTAATTCTAGTTTTGTTCTTTGCATACAGTCAAGTTTCAGTGACATGTATTTTTGATCTACTCATATTTAATAGGTAAGATATGCCCTCCGTCCTTCTTAAGCTTCTGATTTCCATGATTGAATGAGTTGCACTATAATAACTTCAATGCTTGTCAAGTAGTGAGGAAGATGATAGATTTTCCATTTCTAAGGATGCATTTTTCCCACTTTCAGTACATACTTGCTGACTTTTTTTAAAGCAGCAGTAATTTAGTTCCCATTTTAAGTTCAATCATGGCGTCCTTCTCTAATGTTGACACTTTGGATATTAGACTACTGCTGTTCTTTCATGCTTTTGCTTCCATTCTGGAGAGAAAAATAAAGATTCTGATCCACTAAAAAGGGGGGTCATGAAAGATACTGCCTTTTAAAGATGTACCAAATTGTTTCTGTTGTGTGTGGGGGGGAACAAAACAGAACGGTTAAGTTGTAACTGTCTGCATTGCCATTTCTCAGCCTTTCTGAGGCACATAGTAATAAACTGTCTGGCTCACTCAGTACCAATTTAATATTAACAAGCCAATGGAAATGATATAGTGATAGAAACATATGTGGTTCTAGGTTTACCAACAAACCTATCACATTTCTGGTGCAAATATACCTCTTATGGCTGCCTGTAATCATTATGGTATAGTTTGCTTTTTGGAAACATTATTCACCAATCAATATTGTCATCAGCAAATTGTCTTGTTTTAGCTCAAGGGGACACCATTGTGCTTTTTACTCTATAGTTTGTCCATTACAGGTTGCTTTCCAATTATAAATTAAGAAACATATGGGCACATTTCACTTTTAGGAACAGTTTGTACTCATCAGACATGTGAAGGAATGGCAGACTTTTTAATTTTGATTTTATTCTTGTTTTGTTGAAACGTCTTCTCTCGTGTACTAGTCATCAGAGGGCAATTCCAGGAAGTTCTGATTCTTTGGAAAAGCTACTTTTTCTGAGATGATCCTCTTAAAGTTCTATTCATTAAGCAAATTGAGATCCAATCTAGCTTTTTCCATTGAATTAAAATATTTGGCTTCCTGCTGTTTTGCTGAGTCACTGATAATTTACAGTTTCATTCCTTTGTAAAATAAGTTTTGGGCAGCAACTCAAATGGGAGTCCCATTCTCATTTGGATCCATTTAGGCATCAGGGCAGGGATAAACACTGTTTCATTTGAATTTCAGTTAAGGATGATTGACTGAAACTCTGGAGCACGAATAAAGGAAATGACATAAGAAATGCTGCTACAAAGAAGTTCTATGAGAGTTCTTGGGAGGTTTCAGTTGTGCCTTGGCCTGTTTCTTCGTTCAGTGCCTACCCTTTGCTTTTCCTCCCTATGCATTCTAAGCTCAGTATCTTGGTGCATTGCTTTGTACTGTATGTGAAAGCTTGCAGTTGTTTTTGTATGCATCTGTGCATAACCGATGTCACTATCAGGCTTGAAGGACTTTAAAATAGCTCAGTAAAGGAGGAGATGAGGAATTGCCTTCCAGTGCAAGAATTAAGGCTGGCATATTTCTGTGTAGGGTGATCACTCCAGATTTTTCTTTCATCTGTGGTCTTGCTTTAAGGGAAGCTGCCTTTCATTTTTGAATTACGCTCTTTTGTCATACTGATCATTTTCTTCCTTTCCTTAATGTTTCCAATTATTTTCTCTCACTGTTGGAACAAGCCTTTAACCTCCCAGCATACTTAGCAGTGGTAAAGAAGGGATTAATTTGTTGCCTGAGATTCAGGGAATGTTGCCCACCCCCTTAGGAACATTTTGGAGGCAACTCATTTGCTGCTGCCTAGTCCCGCAGAGCCCAGAGAGGATTAGCTGGCAAAGAAGAAACAAGCATTTGAGCATACCACTGTTGGTGACTTGGACCTTCAGATTTTATGCATTCGAATCTGATCTGATCTGAGGTATTTTATCCTGTTCCTTCATTGCCACTTCTTTCAATTGAAAGCGGTAGGCTTGATATTCATAACTACAGGTAGTCCTTGGCTTACAACCACTCGTTACTGACCATTCAAAGTTGCAATGGCATTGAAAAAAGTACTTATGACCATTTTTCACACTTAGAACCTTTGCACCATCCCCATGGTCACATGATCAGAATTCTGACATTTGGCAACTGGCTTATATTTACAATGGTTGCAGGATCCCAGGGTCACTTGAACACCTTTTGCGACCTTCTGACAAGCAAAATCAATGAAAAAGCCACCTTCATTTAACAACCATGGTGTTAACAACTACAGTGATTCACTTTGCAACTGTGGCAAAAAGGTTGTAAAATGGAGCAAAACTCATTTAACAACTGTCATATAGCAACACAAAATTTTGGGATTCAGTTGTGGCCAAATGTCGAAGACTATGTGTACTCATTCGTACAACAAAAAAGTGAATCACTTATTGGACAGTGTGCCCAGTCCTGGAGGAAAGCAACTGTTTTCTTGGTATTCTCTGTCCTTTAAAGGGGTTAATTCAGTTACTGTATGGCTGCTTGGAAATTGCCATCTGTTTTGAGGCTGTTGTATTTCTTTCGGTCAGATCTCCTGCACACAATTGAAAACAAACAACTGTGTTTCCAGTTCTGCTGCCCCAGAGTGGAACCTGTAACTGCCACTCCTAAAAGAGTTAACTGAGCAAGTGTAGCAGTGGTGGAGCCACGAGAAGCTGATGATGCAAACGTGAGGGAAGAGTGGAAAAGAAGCAGAGAAGCCAAAGTAAGGAGAGAACAGGGAGATATAAATAACTTGGGTGCTTAGCTGGGGAGTGACTTTCTGTCTTGGTTTGTCTGGCCCTGATACTGCTGGCATCGGCTCTCTAGGGAAAAGCTGCAATTCTGCTGTTAAAACACAAGGAGCAGCCTGGAGAATTTTGAGCTGCGTCACACAGCTTAGAGGGAGAGAGTGAGAGCCAGCTCTGTCGATAGGTCTACTAGCAACAGCCTACTGCAGCAAGAGACAGAGAGAGAGAGAGATCATGCAAGAGAAGTAATAACAACATTGGGAAGCATGGTTCCTTTTCAATCTAGCATTTTTTTTTTCTTTAAAGAAACATTATTTGGGAACTTGTTGAAGAAAAGTGGATTTTGTCCACTGATGGTACCGGAACGATGTGACGCAATTAATCCCGCAAAGGTGGGGGGGTAGATATAGGAAGGGTTAATGGGAGGAAAATTCTGGAATGTTCTGTGCTGCGGCAGAGCGAACAGAGGGTTGAGGACTGCACAGGTGTAGATGAGCAGAGCTCATGGTTCCTCTATTAAATACGTACGTATTTTTTTTTATCGGAGTTGGGGAGGGGAGTTGAACTGAGTGTCTCACTTTGTATGTATGTGGCTAGAGATATCTTTCTGCCCTCCCATCCCTCAAACTTTTCATTCAGTAGTATTTTCCTGTGGCTAAATGTTGTTTCTATGTCCTGCATCAGACTAATGGAATTAAAGCACAAGTTGTAAAATGTCAGTGTATAGCTAGCTATAATGCATAGTCAAAAAACAAGGAAGGGAAATAGAACAGTAGCTTTGCACAGGATGCCATCTAATACCCCCTTCCCCAATTTCCTTATTAAATCAAAAAGTTGGCAGAGAGATTTATCAAAACACTCTGGATCTTTAAAGCTAAGAATCTGTATCTGCAGAGTTAAGAAAGTGGCAAATAGACAAATGATGACGCAGGGATCTTTGCTTGGCATGTTATTAGGTTTAGAAAGCATTGGTTGGAGGGGGGTGGAGAGGGGACAGGTACATTGTGAAGCCCCAGACCAACTGACAGGGTGAGTTAAGAAGGGAAGATTCCATTTAAGAATTAAATGTCATCATTTTGGCGTCGGAAAGTTGTTTACCTTTCTCTCTGCGTGTCTCCATGTTGGCAGCCTTCCAGCTCACATGTGATAGTCTTCCCTGTACTGCTGCATCATTAACTGAGTGCCTGAGCTTGCACATGATTGGCTGGGGAGGGCTTTCATTCTAAACACTGATTTCCATTGGAGGGAGAAGCAATGGCAGGTGAAATGCTATCTGAGATTGGTTAGAGTCAGAATATCAAATCTAAATATTCCATTTCAATTGCTTTAAAAGAGGTTCTGAACAGTTTGTGACTTAAAATGTTGGCTATTTGCTTTTATTCCCCACCCACTCCTCTCCTTTGCAGCAAGCACTTTAGAATGTGTCTATATTTTCAGAGCTAGTGTTTTAAAGAGAAAAAGCAGGAGCTTGTCTATTGTAGATTACTTTAGTTTATTACTGGTGCAAGTGACGCAGAAGGAAAAACAAATATTCTGTGACTCGAGTTGCATCAGTGACAGGCATATTTCCGGCTGCTGTGAGACAAGCCACGATGACGTGACATTATTATAGCCTTCAGAGGAGATAACAAAAAGAGACTTCAGTGGGTGTCTATCTTTGCCTTTGTGTGAAAAAACTCTTAACTAGACCAAGCAGTTTTCTTCTGTTATAAACTCTCTTGAGGACAGAGAGATTGCTTGTTAGAGAAGAATCTATAAAAGGCTGGACAGAGCTTAGAACAAAAACTGTGTCTTAGATTACAACACTGTGAATCGAAAGTCAGTGCTGGATGAATGTAGTGGTAAGAAATACAAAGTTTACTTTCTGGTTGTTTTATTTTGCTTTTAAATGAGATAGTTTCTAAGATAGTTGGACAGTTGTGAACTATAACCAGTTCTGGTAGGAGTGCTGGAAATCTTTCATTTATGGTACATATTGTATCTAAGTAGACATGATTCTTTACCATTTCAGATCAACTATGTTTTCCCTTCTGACCTATCCCAAAGCCAATTCCAGATATAAAATTATTATGGAGGATGAAGTCTATGTTCTTTCCTTCTTTTTCTTTTGGAATTTCAATGAAATTCTAAGCAATAAGCATTATCACAGAGCATGGGGGACAATTTCCTGTGGCACGTTCTCATGAATTGTTTCAGTAAACTGAAAGATTTAACAATAATTTAAGAATCTGTGTGGGTGACTCACTGGCATTGAGAGAGTCAAATATAGCCGGTTGTTCAGCAGTAGTTTTCTGGCTTTGGAACCAGATCAGATAACATTTTGATTTGCCATCTTGATTATTCTAAATTACTCCTGTCTTCTCAAGTATTGTTTCAAGATTTTATTGCTTGCAGGCTTTAATAGTCCCAGGAAGAATGAACAAGCATAGTCTTCTATTCAGAAGGAAGGAGAAATAACCAGGAAGCCATATCTGGAAATGGACATGATACGTGAAAGGAGAAGACGGATAGATGTGACAGATACCTACCTCCTCTGCTACTCTCTCAAACATAACTTCATTTTTTACTCTTCTTCTCCGTTGTCAAGTGTTATGCCTAATTTGAAATTATTCCATTGGAAATGTACCACCTTCATTTCTCCTTCTCCCCATTGAGAGTCCTTGCTTTGCAAAGCTGTCTCCTCCAGAGGCAGTCTTGCATCCTGCGGTGCTAATTCTGCAGAGGAGGTCCATCAGAGGTCCATCTGTGATGGGATACTCTCAGGCTGAGATTTTGCTGCTGTTGTCACGAACAAAAAAAGTGAGTAGGTTTGAAAAAAGTTGGGTTACTTTCATTTTGATGGACGCCATTTAAACAAACATAGCTTGCATTTTTTAGATACAGCCACTAGGGATTGTATATTGGTTTTTGCTTTTTCTTGTCACATGATGCTCTGTAATGGCATACCTTAAATATTTTTAGAGTGAGTTGGATTTGTACAAGAGGAAGATTAATAGTACATACTTTTTCTTGATTCTCCCAAATAAGTGCATTTTCTCACCCAAGCATTAAAGGTTGAGATTGCTTATGTGTATGTCAATTTATTTTTATAAATCTGAATACAGTTCTTAATCATTGTTGCTTTAATAAGTAATTGCTCACATAAAGATACTTTAACATGAAAAGTGAAGCTATAATGAGTGAAAAGGCATCATTTTTGTTCTACTGTTGTGGAAAGATTTGACAGTTCATCTCTTGTCACAAGTTAACAATATAAGTGAACCACAGGCTTGTATAGAACTTGTCTGCAGGTGGTTTTGAGTCTTCTGATGCTATCCTGAAGCCAGAGGGTTTGACATTAGTACCTTGCTCAGCTTTGTGACCTTGGACTAATTTGCCAGTTACTGCTTTTCTTTGTCGTCCACAAAGGGGCATAATAAGATGTGCGTCATAGGAATGTTGAGGCTTCTGCTTGTTTTTTTTTAAATAAGAACCATGAAGTTTTTCCTGAAATGAAAGGACTTCCTTACGAAATGGGATTGTTCTTTTATATTAAGATTACATAGTGTGGATGAAATTTACCAAGGCCATGCAATAAACATAATGTGTGTCCCTAGCTACTACTATTTTTATTTTTTTATTGGCACCATTTTGGCAAACAGATGGACCCAATTAACTGTACATTTTTTCTAGTGATTGATTGTGACACATCTAAGTTTGAATATACTATTTCTTTAACAAGTTAAATAATATTAACAAAAAATAGTTGTGTGGAGGGAGGGAACCTATCTTTAAAATCATATCAAAACTTGTGTTCTTAATCAGAAATGTTTTGGTATCATGACATATTACTTTCACTCATGCTAACAGCAGGAGAATATTTAGTTTAATGATGACTCCTGTCCATTTTGTTGCTGGTAAAATATATTCAAAGCCGGTGGTACTACTGCTATTAATTTCTGTCTTGCACAAAAATAGTCTTCAATTTGTATCTGGAAGATACTTGCTGTTGCTGGGAGCAGAATCATTTTCTTGAGGAATTTTTCTCTCCTGAATTTAATATATATATATATATATATAGTTCATGAAGTAGTATTTGATTATAAACTTAATAACTCCATTTCATTTCCCTCACCCTGTTCCGACCAGAATACGGACTTAAAATACAGTCACATTTTGCATTTTTTCATCTTATACAAGGTAGTCATTTGTATTGATTTGGGTGTGGTAACTCTGTCTATCATTTTCTTCCACAATTTAAAAAAATAAGAATTTGAGGGAAATACTATTCCTTCAATATTTGCATTTATAATTGGGAGGAACTATTTCCTACAGTAGCAAGCTTAAGTTTCTGCAAGAAAGACAGAATTATGGCTTCCTCTATACTATTCCCCACAACTAGTTTTTTTAATATTTATTTTTAAATTAAACATTTTACTGCGCCTTTACAAAAACACATTTTTAGAAGATTTTTATATTTCAGAATTGCGTGAAGAAGAAAAATGATGCAATGTAACTTTCTCGGTAGCCATTTTGCTGCATCACCATTACCAAATTGCAAAATCCTAAATTATATTTACTTGTAGTTCCGGGACATAATGTCCAAAACCAAATTGTGGACTCGGTTATTCGTCTTTTGTCTGTCTTTTGACTGAACATAAATGCCAATTCAATAGTCCATGCATAAATATAAATTAAGTAATCTATGAAGCTCTAAGTTATAGCCAGAATTACAATTATGGAGTATTTTTGTTAGCAAATTCTGCTTTCTCGTAATGTAAGATTTTCGTTCATCTTTTAACTATCTGTATTTATAATCTTACTTTTTTCTTCAATACTCTGTGTTCATTTGCTGGAGAGATCAGTAAATTATTCTCTATATGTAAATATTTTCATTGAAATTATGTATTTGAATGACATTAGAACAGTCAGCTTAATATTGATTAGTTTACAGTCATGAAGCCAAGATGGTGGGTAGCTCTGGGGTTGTTAGCAGTCTAAATGAGCAATAATCTAGCAAGAAAGCAAGACTTTATAGAATATGTTCCTTAATTTAAAATACACATAGGAAAAACTACTGTTTTTTTTTTTAAAAGGAAAACATTAGTATAAAATAGAATGTTGTAACTGTTGACCCAAACATGCAGATTGGGTCAATTTATATATCTGTCACTTTTTAATGTTATGTATCTCTTACCTTAGTCTGTGACCACTTTTGTCATAGATGGAGGTGTGTATTAACTTGTATTTTGGGTTGAATTCCCATATTCTACAAGGAAGTAGGCAGGTTCCTTACTTTGGGAGACTTTATTTCCCATTCCATTAGCTGCTATAAACTATTCTTCATGGCCTTTACAAATCAAAGAGCCTGGATTTCTTCCTTCTGTTGTTTGTTTATGATTATTGATTGCAAACTTTTCTTGATACTCATGTATATGTTAAAAATTGATCTTTCAGTGCATTTATAGATGGACATCTCTAATCTGAGTACACTACAGCATCTTTCCTGAGTTTTTTTTTTTTTTTTAGAAAAGTCTTTGGCGACATTGGCCTTTTACATTTGAATTAAGAAACAAGCATATAAATTACAATAGTTCTTTGCTTCTGCTTCAGCTAGGCATTAAATTAATATAATATTAAATTGAAATATTGCTTAAATTATTTGGGCTTTTTTATTTAGTGATGATATTACTGCTAGTTTTAATTAAAAAATGAATTAAACTTCACTTTGGTTTTAAGAAGAGATAAAAATAATGTATATACTTTACAGATGCTCAAATAATGTCCATTCATGTGTTCTCAAAGGATTTATCCATTATATATATTAGGGGTGTCAAACTCACGGTATCACATGATATATCGTGACTTTTTCCCCCCGTTCATTAAACCGGGGTGGGCATGGCCAGCACATGACACATCTGGCCCATGGACCTCAAGTTTGACGTCCCTGCTACATATGATTCTGACTCCAGGCCAGATGTCCATAAATTCTGTTTTCAACTACATGACATGAACTTTCATCCATAAGTTACCCTTTTCTGCCTTGAAGTAAAATTTGTGTTCTAAAACAGAAATCTCAGACTTCCGGTTTGAAGGGCTTCGGCGACAGACAGAAATCCGTGATCGTGCATGGTTTCTGTCTGGGCTCGCTGCTGCAACGCCCCGAGCCGGCTGGTTTCGGGGCTAAGCCACCCTGTAGAGGTGGTGAAGAGGGGGGAGACTGCCAGCAGGGTTGAGGAGAGCCGCATCTCTCCTCCTCAGCTGGCCATTACTCCCTTTCCCGAAGGCAGTTGCAGCGGTGGCCAGTTGCAGCGGTGGTGGCCACCACAAAGGAGAACTCGACCGGAAAAGAATGTGCAGGAGGAAGATAAGAAGTGAAAGTTTTGGCTGACCGGGTTAAATTTTAAAAGCAACAACTAAAGGTACCCTGGAATTTAAACTTACAAAAAATAACATCGCTCCCAAAGAAGAGTTGGAAGCAGCGAAAGAAAGTGAAAAGGGAAAGGTTTGGCTTTTTTTCCCTTCTCTCTCCTTCCCTATACTGACAACTAAGAGACTTAAATAAGAAATCGGAAAAATCCACTTTGACATCAATAGGCAATTAAGCTGAAAATAAAACAAAATGCCAAAGGGATAATAAAGATTTCTGGACATTAAAAATTTTCTTTTTCATAAGCAGGAAGGGAGAGAAAAGGAATAAGGGCAGGATCTGGAAGAGGGAGGAGACTGCCTGGAATTAAAAAGAATCTACAGTAAAACTTCAACAAGACTTCTAAAAGATACATTTTAACTGAAACTTTGCAACTAAATAGTAATCCCAGGAAGAGAAAGTGAAAAAAAGAGCAAAAAAGAAACAGCTTGCATGTATTTGGATTATGTGGTGATCTTTGGATTCTTGGTTGTTATATTTGAATGACTAAAATCAATTAGGTGGTTGTTTAAAAATTTATACAATGGCGCCATTTCTGGATGAATTGAAAATGGAGCTTAAAAAGTACAAAGAAGGGAAGGGTTCTTTTGGCTTCGTTTTTCAATTTTTAGAAATGGAGATTTGGAACTATGAGAAACAACAAGAAACGACTGCAAAACAAGAAGACTGGGACAAAGAAGAAGCCATCTTTAATGAACAAGCAATTTTATGTGGGGAAGAAAAAGGAAAGAGGGGAAAGAGAATGGAGAATTTAAGACTTAAAAAAACAACCAAAGAAAAGAAAAATAATTTGAAAAATAAGTATAATACTGGAAAGCAACAGAAAAGGGGAATACTGAAGAGAGAAATAGAGGTAGAGAGACAAGGGGGTAAAAAGGGGAGAGAGAAGAAGAGAGGGAAGAAGGAAAAGAAAAGAAGTTACAAAGGACCCGGAGCAAGATATAGAGAAATAGACCCTTTTTAGAGATAATGGGTGAAAATCTAACTGAAAAAGGGATTCTGGAAAGGTGCATAAGATTGTATTGTTATATTAGTAATAGAAATAACTTTAGAAAATTGGAAACAACGTATGATTAAAATGAGGGATAAAATGGTTAGTGTAATTTAGTGAAATGTTTGAATAAAATAAGTGAAATAAAACAAATGAGAAAATTGAATTAGGAAGGAACAGGAACATTTTAATTAGTTAATGTTTTATAAAATATAAGTGAAGAGGGGGGGAATTAACTATGGAAAGTTTATAATTGTTCCCATAGAAGTATGGTATTTAATTGAAAAGTAATGTTAAAGATGTTAAGACTTTAATGAATATTAATATTAATGATAGAATTGAAATGGAATGGAATGTTGTTTTAATTATATACATTTATAATTTTTTCTTTTTTTAAGAATACAGTGTGTATTTTAAGAATGTACTAAGCAGAATCCGAATGGAAGTTATGTATTATACTGAATGTTACAACTTAGGGAAAAGATATAAAGGCATCATACTCCAATCAGTAACTACAGGAGAAATTTTGTTTAATGAGAAAACATAATAGATAATTGAAACAGGACAGACAAAAAATATAAATACAATGATTTGAATTGAGATAATTAAAATTGAGAAAATTAAAAGAGGGGAGAAGCTATGCAGAAAATGTAAAATAGCAATAAGATATGGAATAGAATATAAAAATGAGCATGAACTTGAATTTGTGTCTGTACGAAGAAATGTAACCCGGGATTACGCTACTTTCAAAAAAGATGTTTTATTTGTATTTTTATTCTCTTTGTGAAAACTCAAATAAAATTTACAAAAATAAAAATAAAACAGAAATCTCATTATTATTTTATTTGGCAAAGGGTAACTAAAATGCTGTTGATATTGTGGATAGATTGATTGCAAAATATTTGGGGGGGAGCTGGAACAAAACCCATAAATCAGACTATATATTTTGGCTGAGATCCAAAGATTTAGTTCTTTATGCTCAAGTTACTTTTGTCTAGTGATTTATTCCCATGGTATTCCTTTGTACATAGCTTTCAAAAATCAGTTTATTGCAATTTGAAATTGTTGCGTCTGTGTCTATACATTATCTATGTGTATATGCAACACGATTTTTTTTTTTTACATAGAATTGGGGACAGACCTATATTAAGATCAAGCAGTAGATATAAATTTTCATTTTTCCCCTCTAGGAATGCATTGCCATTTTCATGAGAAATGGATTCTGTGCTTGCTTTGTTTATAGGTTTGTTTTTTAATTTCATAGAAAGGTAAATATGTTCCTGCAAATCTTACTAAGTTCAAAGGACTGAAAGGCTTATAAATAGGGTGGGTGACTGTTTATTTCTGTGTTTTTATAATCTGACAATTACAATTTCTTATATTTTGAGGAAGTTATTTTTGAACTGAATTTAACTTTATGAATCAAACATAAACCATAAATTTAGTATACCAAACTTGATTACTTTATGAGCAAACCAGTTATACAAAAAAGTGTTTGTTGTTCTACAGTAATTTAGAATGTTGTAAAGATTGTTAAAATCAGTTTGATTAACTTTTCAGAATAAAAATAATACTTTTTGCATCTTCCTTTCAATTTTTTGGAAACACTTGCAGGTCTACTCAAGAATTAGTGACTTCAGTGGTCTAAAACTTGGCAGGACAAGTTGATGATCCATAGGATTTCCTAGATTCTCCCATGAGCTATCCAGAGCATCCAGTAGTGGTAGGTGCTTCAGCCTCTGCATGTCTAGGCTGGGCTTAATTTATGGAATGCTCCTCCTCCTCCACGGTACTCCTCCCCAGCGTTCCCCAGTTTTGGCTCAGCCTCGTGAGAGATAGGCAGTGCTTATGATTCTTCCTTGACCGAAACAGGAAAAATTCTTTCCTTGCTAGCAGGTTTGAAAGTTAATCAGCTTGTCTTTAGAATCCTTTAGCCTTCTAATCACACTGTGATCTCTCGACGTTGGCTCGCATTACAGAGGGAAGTGCCAATCCACACCCCAAAGTGGCGGGATGCTTCGGCAGTGCTCCACGCCCCCTCCCCACAACCGATCTTTCTACCCCTGCCATTCCGACAGATTGCCGCAGAGTTTCTTTACCCGAACAGCGGCGTGAGCTCTTTGATCCCAACAGAGTCGTATCGCTTTCCTTCCCCCTCTGAATGCCACTTGGGGTGGAGGATTCAAATGCTTAGTGCCTTCCACCCTTCCTCTACCGTTTAGCCTTATAGGAAAAGCCATCGGAGGCTATTCCTTAATACAGCGGGTGTTTGGTGCTGGGGAGCACGCCAAAAGATTAACGGCCGGAGGCCATCTTTTCTTACAAGACCTCGTGGCTGCACACCTGTATTCCATTTCGTGCTGTGTGAGGTAACTCTGTTCCGAGCAGAGGTTCCCTTCAGGAACACTGGGGAGCATTATACCCTCCTCTTGGTTTTTTTCTACATTCAAGGCTATTCTTACAGTTAAATTGTTGGCTTAACCCTCACAGCCCAATCAACCCAGGGGCACAATAGCGAGCACCTAGGCCTGTGTCCGCCTATGTAGGGAAGCTGTTGAAGGCCTCTACCTTATCAACCTGGGCGTTCTCAATTTGGCTGTTTGGCTTCTCAGCACATAATAGCGTGCCACTTAATTAATATTCATATACATAATGTCATATATATATATAAGTGGATATATAATACAACAACAACAACAAAACAACAACAACAAAACAACAATAATAATAATAATAATAATTATTATTATTATTATTTTCTCTTTGGTATAATATTTTAATATCAATAAAATATTTTTACTGAGATATGACTCATTATAGATAGGTATTGTTCAAAGAAAAAAAAGAGGAAAGGGGGCAATAAAAACATCAGGGCAACCGGTTTGTCCTCAGATCAGGCTCCTGGGCATGCCAACCGTCTTCACAGTATTGCATTGTATAACAAGCATACTGCAATTCCAACTTCAATCGAAATGGCAGACGGTAGCAGCTCTCAGACCTCATCTTGAAGGTCAAAGCCAAATCTCAGCATAAACCTAAGCAGGCTAAAGGGAATTCTAAAACTTCAGAAAGGGATGCCATCAGGCGCCATAAAACTTTACAAAAACAGATAAGTGCACACGGGAGGCGCACAAGGTCTCGCAGGACTTCGCCTCCTCCAGTCCAGGTCCGTCTACCTCTTCCCACCCTCCTCCTCCCCTAGATCTCTCCCTCTCATCCAGGCGCAGCTTGGCTCCCCAAGGCCAACAGGCCCAAGTATCTGGGACACCGACCACGTGAAGGGCTCCCAAAGCTACATTCACTCCGACGGCTGCCGGGCTTCATCAGGACGACATTCTTACAGAGGAAGTTCCAGAGAGGATGAAGGCCTGGATGGAGCTGGCAATCCGCCAGGGAATCGTAGCAGGTCTTCAACACGCAGTTATGACTAGGGAATATCCTGTGATGGCCAATCATGATTCCCAGTCGCTGAGGTCATTGACCAGGTCAGACCAGCACTATACCCAGGTACATTTACAAGGGGAGGTCCCCCTCCAAGGGCCGACTGAGGAGGAGGAGGAAGAAGTGGATCAAATTGATCAAATGGAAGAGATTGAATCAGGATCAATACATGACAGCGAGCCCCTGTCAGAAGCAGACCCCTTAGAAAGGGGAATGTCTGAGGATGAGGGCCTTGTTCTTGACCAACCTGTTTTTACAGGCTTATTCCGCCCACAACTTTTCAGATCTCTCTTGTTTAAGGCAAAAAATATTGCACGCCTAAACAAGTCGACCTCTTCTATCACTCCAACTCCTTCGGAAGAGGGACCAGGGGATCTAATTTTCAACCAACCAGTAGTTGAAGCAGAGGTGATCCCAGTTCCTCCCATGTTTTCGGACCTGGTACAGAAACAGTGGGCCTCTGCAGCGGTGTACCCAGCCCCCACTGGATATGACAGGAAATATTTCAATTTGGCCCCTGATTTCTCAAAATTATTGAATACTCCCAAGGTAGTAGCTGACGCAACTTATCATGTAGTCAAGTTTTCAGCCAGGGCCATTACTTCACATGTCACAGCGCGACGCTTACTATGGTTAAAACATTGGCAAGCGGACTTTAAGTACAAATGCAAGCTGGCTTCATCCCCAATTGTGGGAGAGAGACTGTTTGACCCTTCCCTTGATCCTCTACTAATTGAAACCCGAAACAAAAAGAAAATTCTTCCTTCCCTTTTTTGGAAGTCAGATTCTAGAAACCCTCAGTCCTTTCGGAGGGGATCCTTTTGGCCCTTTTACCAGGGATCTTTTTCACCCAGATACCAGAGACCCCCATCATTCAGACCAGGGCAGCAGCCAGACAGGTCCGACTTCGGGGATAGGAGCAGAAGGGGTGGTCAATCCAAGAGTTCCTTTCAGGGAGCAGGAAACAGGTCCTTTCGGCGTCCAAGATAACTCCCTGGACCCGACTCCCATTGGCGGATGCCTTAAATTATTCTCAGACCAATGGGACTTCTCAACCTCTGATTCCTGGGTCAGAGACACGATTAGATTTGGCCTTGCGCTGGAGTTTCAATCCACTCCCCCAGATTTTTTCATGTCATACCCTCTCTCCAGAGACCCGGTTAAACGTAATCTCATGGAAACAGCTATCCAACACCTACTGGACATATGAGCCATCCAGCCAGTAGCCACCAACCAATGAGGGTGAGGTTTCTATTCACATCTTTTTGTTGTTCCCAAAAGTTGGGGGGGGGAGGTGGAGAGCAATATTGGATCTGAAACGTCTCAACCGTTTCTTAGTATATTGCAAGTTTAAAATGCACACCCTGCAATCTATCTCACTTGGCATCAGAAAGGGTGACGTCCTCACGTCCATAGACCTGACGGAGGTGTACCTACATATTGCTACTGGCCTTCTCACTATAAATTTCTGAGATTCTGTTATAATAACCACCATTTTGAATATGTGGCCCTTCCTTTTGGACTAGCTTCTGCCCCCAGGACTTTCACGAAGGTTCTCGCAGCGCTAGCTGCTCATCTCCGTGATATCCCCGTACAACTCCAGTGTTATCTTGGTGACATCTTAATTTTGTCATCTTCTGCTCGTCAAGCAGTCAAAGATACTCAGAACACATTACAATCCCTACAACAACATGGATTCTCAATAAATTGAAAAAAGAGTCATTTAACACCATTGATTCGGTTAACCCATCTGGGGGCTGTCATAGATACGGTGGAAGGCAAAGTTTACCTATCACTAGATAGACTAAATAGCATTCAGCAATTAATCAGGAGATCAGGGGTCTTAAGAGGGTGTCCCTAGCGGAACTATCAAAATTGTTAGGCAAGATGATCTCATGTATCTCTATCATCCCTTGGGCCCAGCTCCATACTAGATCCCTCCAGTGGTTCCTGCTCCCGTACCAGCGCTCCGGCTGAAGCAACTCCAAATACAAGGTCAGGGTACCATCAAAGGTCCTCATATCTCTCTTCTAGTGGACCAGACCAGTGATCAACAGAGGCTGCCTCTTCAAAGAACCACACAGACTTACCATCACCACTGATGCCAGCCTGTTTGGATGGGGAGCGCACATTCAATTGCTCACAACCCAAGGCCGCTGGTCCGCCATAGAACAGTCGTGCAGCATAAACTGGCTGGAGCTTCAAGCAGTACACCTGGCTCTCCGCAGCTTCCTTCCACAGGTATGCAATCAGCACATACTAATATTGACCAACAACGTAACAGCCAAAGCTCACATAAACAAACAGGGGCACACAGTCAAAACATCACATGCGAGAAGTGGAGCGCTTGTGTCTTTGGGCGGAGAGCAACCTACTTTCCATCAGAGCAGAGCACATTTCGGGTCTGTCAAATACACAGGCAGACTGGCTAAGCAGGGCCACGATCGATCAGTCGGAGTGGTGCCTCCATCTGACCCTGTTTCAAGAGGACGTTTGGACAGCCGGTGGTGGACCTGTTCGCTTCCCCTTTCAACGCTCAGCTCCTGAGATTTTTTTTCCAGGTACCCCTCGCAAGGAGCGGAGAACTTCAATTCCTCCACTGTCATTGCCCCCCAGGACTTCTGTATGCATTCCCACCACTTCCACTGGTTCCCAAGGTCATCCAGAAACTGCTATACGAGAGGGCAGAACTACTTCTAGTAGCTCCTTACTGGCTCAGGTGGCCATGGTTTGCAGACCTCTGCAGTCTATCTGTATCAACACCATGGAGAATTCCGCTAGTCAGGGTTTCGCTAACCCAGGGACCCCTTCAACATCCGGACCCTCAATGGTTTCACCTGAGCGTCTGGAGGTTGAGCGGAGTTGTCTGAAGAGCGAAAAGTTTTTCAACAGAGTTATCGCCACTACCCAAGCCACCAGATGCCCCTCAACAACTTGCACTTACAATGCCACATGGTCCAGTTTCTGCAAATGGTGTACTGAGTCTCAAATTGATCCCATCTCTCCATCTGTGGCTCAAATTCTAGAGTTCTTGCAAGAGTGACTTGACAAGGGATTATCACCTAATATGTTGAAAAGACAGGTGGCAGCCTTGGCGTCAGTTCTTGTGAAGGTCTACTATCTCTTTCCCATCATCCACACATAGGAAGTTTCCTTCAAGGAGCCACAAATTTATGCCCTCCAGCGGTACGCCGTTATCCCACCTGGGACCTTAACAAGGTCCTCGTCGCGCTCACTAAGGGCCCTTTCGAAC